GCCCCCATCAGCGCAAGGGGGTTCCAAAGACTAGTGGCGGCTTTGGGGTTAAGCGATTTCCCCCTGCCCAGCCCCACCCGGCCCTGTCTCCTGTCGGCTTCTTCCTCCTCCTCCTTTTTAGTGACCTCTGTGCAGTACAGCCAGAGGTTGTCGTGGAGACACGGGGTGGGTGTGGGGTTCTTCTGGGAGCTTGGCTAGCAGCTGGGTGTAGGGACTCTGTGGGCCAGATTGAACTGGGGACAAACAGCCCCTACCTTCACCCAGCCTGGCTAGGAGCCTGCTCTAAGCTATCTTCCCAGTGCTGCAGAACCCCAGTCCTGGGGTGGGAAGAGGTGCTGACAGAAGAGAAGGGGACATCATTGCCCTGATGGGGGTGGGATGGGGCAGGGAGGAGGCTGGCAGGACAGACGAGAGCGTCAGCTGGAGAGAGAGAAATCCTCAGGTGCTTCTCCCCAGGACCACAGCCCTTGCATTCCCATGGCTTCGTGGGAAGCATTTCCAGTCATAACAGTGTGTGGCTATGGGTGTGAGTCTGAAGTTCTGAGTGTTGGCTGCATGAGTCTTTGGGTCAGTGCCTAGGCCCACAGCTGTGGTTGTGTGTCTGTGTGTCTGAGCACCTGTGGTGTGTCTGCACGGATGCCTGTGAGGGTGAGTGCGCACACTTGAAGCCCCATCTTGGGCCCCACTCTCAGCCCTGTCTAACCCAGCCCTCCCCACCCCCAGAGCAGCCTTCCTCATCCCCTAATCCCCTGTTTGCCCAGCTCATCCCCTGGACTCCTTGAAACCCCATTAATGAGCCCTGGTTGCCCCAGGACAAACCCCAAATTAACCCCACTGCTGACCCCAACATGGACACCTGTAATTAGACCAGGAGCGGCTGAGGCCAGGCAACCCCTGGGGCTCGGTGGGGCAAGGGCAGGCTGGGCCAGCCCAGGGAGCCTAATACCCAGGAATGCTCTAAAAGCTGCTCCTGGCTCCAGGGCCCGCCGCCCGGCTCACCCGTAATACCTCACAAAGCTCCAGACAGGGCTTCAGGGGGATTACCTGCTGCAGGGCCCCCAAGGTGGGGAGGGCTGTTTGGCAGGCCCACCCTGCCAGCTCGAGGCTGGGGCAGCTTCAGGGGAGGGAAAAGCTGTCCCCTGGCCTCAGATCCCAGCAGCTTGGCCACAAGATCTTCAATAACCCAAGCCGGCACCCGTGGTGGCAGCTGCCCAGGGAAGAGCCAAGGCCAGGCTGGCTGGTGCATCCCCTCCCTGCCGAGGGTCTGACCCCTCCCCTGCTTCAACTTGTTCTGTTTGCTCTGTGCAGCGTGTCCCGGTAGCTCCATCCGCATTAACCCCTGACCCTGGACTGTAACTCTTCCTCTTCTCTGACAACTGTGTTTACCCAGTGGCTTTCTCAGGCGGTTTTCCCTCCCGCCCAGCACTCTCCCAAGGGATGATGCACTCCTGCGGGATCTCCTTGGAACTCCCCATTCCAGGAACTACTAGAAGAATGGTTGCCCATGAATGTGCCTGAGGACAGCTGATGGCGACCTTGCTCAGGCCCTGGGGGTAGCACCTACACCAATTTGGGGTTGGGAATAGATTGTACAACCATCCTGATGTATAACCTGGCAAATATCTATTGAAAATTGTCTAGTGAATGTATACTATTATATGACCCAGCAATTCTACTTCTAAGAATTTATCTGTACATGTCCTGCCTTTGTATTCAGAGAAATACATCAAGGTCAAGGATATTTATTGCAGCAGTGTAAGAGCTAAAGCCTAGAAACAAGCTAGGTATCCACCTAGGAGACTAGCTAAATAATTAAGACATACCCATACAATGAGGTTGTTTTTTTTATTTATACAATGGAATACTATGCAGCCACTAAAAAGAACAATCTATATGTTCTGATCTAGAATGATCTTCAAAATATAATAATAGATGAAAAGGTTAGGTACAGAACAAAGCACAGACAATGTGGTCATTTATGAGGAATATATGCAAACAAAAACTCATATCTTTGAAAGAATCTTCAAGAAAGTTACAGCAGAACTGCAGGTCAGGGATGGGAGGGAGACAGTTTTTTTGTGTTATACTTATCTGTACTTTATGATTCTTTTTTTAACTTTATACATAGCTTACCTTTCAAAAACAAATTTGTTGTACATATAAAAATAAATCAAATGCATATATCCTTGAACCCCACTATTCAATTTCCAGGAATCTGGTTTGCAGAAATATATACAAGGATGGTCTAATGTTTCAATGCAAAAATATTGGAAACAAACGCTCATCAATAGGTAATAGTTTAAATAAATGATGGTACACCAATACAGTAGAATTCTGAGCAGTTAGACAAAGAAGTAGGTCTACATGTACGGACATGAAAGACCGAAAAGACAGAGAGAAGAGAAGAAAAACACATGCAAAACAATGCAAATGTATTTTATTTATCTATGAAAGGACCCCTGGTGGCACAGTGGTTAGCACCCTAGGTCTGTGGTTCAAACCCACCAGCCATGCCACGGGAGAAAGATGTGGCAAAATCTATAAAGATTACAACCTTGGAAACCCTATGGAGCAGCTCTACTCTGTCCTATAGGGTCACTGTGAGTCAAAATTAACTCCACGGTGATGGGTATTTATATAAAGAGGTGGGTAGGAGGGAAGGAAGGAAAGGAATTACCTGTTTCTCTATGTACATATATATTGCATAACTGTGTCTCAAAAGCTCTAGAAAAATAAACATCAGGTTGATGACAGAGGGAAAAGTGGGATGGGAAGCTTCATTTTATATGCTTCTGTATGAATGAATGACAAGAATTCGCCAAGTACTCCTTGTGTAATTACAAAATTAAATAAATAAAAGCTTATAAAAAGAATAATGGCACCACAGTCACTTGTCTTGGCTCCTCCCACCACCGCAGCTTCTGAAGCCCTCATGATTGCTCTATTATTACCTTCATGCTACAGAAAGGGAAACCCAGGTGGAGAGAGGTTATGTAACTTCTCCATAGTCACACAGCAAACACAAGCTGGAGTCAGGCCTCCACACTTCTAGTGTGTCCATGCCATCTCTCCTTGGAGGAGACATGACTTCTGTGTTCTGAGCCTCCTCCAGCAGGCGGACACCCAGGTTGGGGTTAGTCATTTTCCTCTGGACTCCTTTCCCTACCTGTCCGCCTCACCCCCTGCAGCCCCCAGAGAGTCTGCTTGGGAGGCCAGCCAGAGTGGACTCTAGAAGCTGGTGCAGCTCCCAGCCTTGGCACGGCTGCCAGCTTCCCCATCACCTGCTTCTGTTCTGGCTTCTTCCTACCAGCAAGAGCCCAGTACCCATTCCCCGCCAACACGCCCCACCACAGAGCACCCCCTAATTACACTTAATGGCAAAGACCATAAGAGCTTTATTAACTTTATTACAGACCCAATTAGCAGCTAATGCCCATAACTACTGTCCCCCCACCAATAATCCCATTAAATATAATGAAGCAGTCTTTCCCCCCTCCTCTGCTGGGTGGGGCCAAGAGGACAGGGAAATCCATCTTCCTGGGCCTGATTCTGCACCTTCAGGCCCATTGGATACCAACTCAGGCCCCAGAGCTTCCCAGGGACCAGGGCTCAGTGTGCAGAAGACAAAGATTAATCAGCAAATATTTTGGTGCCAGCCATTGAGGCTATGTACACAGGCACACACACATTCACATATACACACAGCCTGGCTAACGTTCAAGTAGCTCCTTTCTTGAAACAGTCACATGGAAACACACACATCTCACAAGCCCAGCTCCATCCAGCATATAGACACCCTCCCAGCCTTGTTCCAGAGCTCATCAGAGCTGGGGATGCCCAGGTTGAAAGCAGGGGCTCTGCCTGGACTTGTGGCAGAATGAGGCGTCGGGGAGCTAGGAGGTGGACTGAGACCAAGGAAAGAGTCTCGCCCCTGAGCCCCACACCCTCACCACACCCCAGGGCCTTTGCCTGCTTTGACTGATGGTTTAAAATCTTCATTGAGCTTCAACAATGCTCTAAGCACAGTGCTGGGCCCCCTCTGCCGTCTCACCTGAGCATCACGGCTACCCAAGGAAGCAGAAGTTATTTCTCCCACTCTACAAATGAAGAAATTGAGAGATGACCCCCTTTTGAAACTGATGTTGTACCTGAGTTGCCTGGAAAGATGTCTTTTCTCTTCCTGCATAGCATCCCCACCTTCCCCATCCCTAAGGCAGAAGTAGATCGTGGAGGAAATTGTTTCCATTACCTCCAGGTGGAGAACTAGACACAGAGAGGGTTGCAGGGAGTCACGGTGAGCTGTGATAAGACAGCCCTCGGGGTCTGATTCCATGTCAGTCTTGATGCGAGTGAGAGGACAAGAGGCCCATGAATTACAGAAGAGACCCCCAGGTCCAGGATTCCATATGAATGAGAAGGTAGCTGGGGGGGAGTGTGTTTGAGCCTCCACAGACAGTAACCAGAACAGATTAAAAACCCCAGCCACCCATGTGACCCAAACCTCAAGAGTTAGGGATTCTGGCTCCGGAGAGTCTGAGCTAAGGGCCTCCATGTCCCTCTACCCCAAGCCCAAGAACTGCCTCAAGATGGGGTGAGGTGACCCCCACAAAATCTCCAGGGTCTTGAGACTCACCACCCAGCCTTTGTCTTGGATAAGGAGTAAACTCCAAGACTGACAGGGTGGAATTAGTGACTGCCCTAAACAAGGGGGTGGGGACTCAGGAAGGAAGACCCTTGAACCTTTGCTTGGAAACAGGCTCCCTGTTCCCGCTCCTCCTCCCCCAAGCTGGCCCAGCCTGGAAGCAGCCACTTGAAATGGGTCCCAGGGAGCCTGGGAGAGGGGCTGGCCCAGCTCCAGCCTCCAACCCTTGATGCCCTAGGCAGGCCCACTTCCCCACCCCTGTCTGGCCCAGCCCAGCTAGGTCAGGAGGTGAGAGGGAGGGCTTTCTGTCCAGGCCCATCCAAGTCAGAATCCACTCCTCGACCTCTGCACACCCAGCATGGCATCCCTCCAACTACTCCATCCCTGGGGAGGGCTAGTGGTTCGGGCAAGTCAGCACCCTTTCCCTTCCCAAGAGGCCATGGGGCCTGGAGAAGGGGCAAATCCTCCTCCCTAGGGTTACTCCAGGGCAGGGCACAGGGGAGCCTCCCCAGGTGGGGCCCCCATTCTGCCCTCTGCCCTGGATGAGTGTTCTTTGACACCAAGCCCCACCACCCTCTGAACAAATAGGAGTACCCCACTCCCCACCCAGGGGGATCTGGTGGCTGGGCAACCTCAGCTGGGATTTTCAGAATCGGTTAATAGAAAGTGCTAGGCAACCTTGTTGAGAGATGAAGTCAGGCTGGGGACCTTGGGGGAAGTGAGCCAACACTGAGGCTTTAGGAAAGGAATAACCAAAAACAAACCAAACTCAACACAATGGAGTCATTTTCTGACTCATAGTGACCTATCCTTGGGTTTCTGAGGCAGTATCTCTACAGAAGTAGTTTTCCCATTCTTCCTTATGAGGAGTGCCTGGTGGATTTGAAAGCCAGCCTTCTGGTTAGCAGTCAAATGCCTTAGGCACTACACCACCAGAGCTCCCTAGAAGACCCTAAAGGTGTCCTCATCTCTCTCTCTCTCTCTCTCTCTCTCTCTCTCTCTGTCTCTCACATGCACACACACACAATATTCCTCCTCTCTCTTCCTCTCCCTGGAGCAAGGAAGGAGCAAGAGATATTAGAATTTGAAGGATGTGAAAATTAGCTAGAGCTGAGAGAGATGTCAACTTCAAGGCAGTGCCCCCACCCCACCCTTCTCTGCCCAAGGGATGGTGTTTCCACAAGTCTCTGCAGGGAGACACCCCCACCCCACCCCCAGGTGTGGAGTGACGCTGTCAGGCGAGGAGGACAGTGAGAAGGAGGGGAGACGGCTTGCCAGGAAGCAGCTGTCCCAGCTCAGGGGCCTGTTCCAGGAACGAGGCCCCTTCCCACCTCCCCCAGTGCTCACATTTGTGGCTGGGGTAGGAGGCCAGAGGAGGGGCTCAGTTTGACCTTCTCAACCCAGCTTCCCTGCCAGTGCTGAAGGTGTCAGGGACTGAGTAGCAGGCTGGGGACAAATCTTTCCAGGGGGCAAGAGGGATTGAGAACGTTATCTTTCTCCCAAGGTGCCTTCCCAGCTTCACCTCTGGCCTGTCCGGAGGTCTGACTGGAGTCCCTGTCTCAACTTCCCTAGCTCTTTCTCATTTGGCTTTGTGGGAGTGGACAAATCAAGCCACAGGAGGGAGGCCTGGGAGGAAATGCCTGGCAGAGGAGCCAGTCTCTCCATCCTGTCTCTGTCATCGTTAACAGCCACAATTATTATTATTTGGAGAGACGGGCCAGAGGTGGTCAGGGATGTGGTTGGGGTGAATGAAATGAAAAAGTCCTCGGTATGTGACGTCTCGCCAGGTTAATACTCCTGCCTGTCGGCCTGACAGCTGCAAGATTGATTACCCAGGCCTCCCGCTCTTTATAACTCGATCAGTCGAATTAATCTCTGGCTGTCGGCCCATCTGATGCCTGAATCACAAATTTAATTTGGAGGTGCACAGCTCCTCCCCCATCCCATCTTCTCCTCCTTTCTGCCACCCTCTCCAGGCCTTCCCCATCTTCCTCCTTCCTCTTCCTCCCACCCCTGTCTTTCTTCCCACCTCCCAGCTCCAGTTTCCCAGCCCTCTGGCCTCCGCTCCTTTCCTCTGCAGCCCTCAGGCCCCTCTGGAGGCAGTGGGTGGAGCCGGCGGAGGAAGAAGGGGAGTGGGTGGCCCTGAGTCAGCAGCCCCTCTGCCTAGGCCAGGGGAGGGGTCATGTTCATCCACCCACTGGGCAAGGTGCCCATCCCACCATGTTCCACCCCAAACGGAGGATGAGGCTTAGCTGACACTAAGTAAGACATATTAATGTACTAAAGACTTAATGAAGTTGGGGGGGGGTGAAGGGTGGAAAGTGCTTGCTTTATTAGTTTATGGCCGATTAATGGGGACGCCATTACCGTGATAGAGATGGATTGCTGCTGTCAGCAGCTGGGCTGAGGGCTGGCCGCCGATTCTTTCCTCGGGTGGTGGGTGCCCCGAATGAAGTCAGAGAGAACTTCATTAGAAGCGTCTGCAGGATCTCACCTGGGGAGGACTTGCGCCCAAGCTGAAGGGGTGGAGGCTGAGACTCAGCTCTTGGCTTTGGGAGGAGAATTCCAAGGGGTCAGGGGCTAGGCACTCAACTTCCCTGGTGGAGAAGAAATCCCATGCAAAGGCAGCAGGACAGGAAGGTGGCCTGGCTCAGGGCCTGCCCACAGTCACCTATGGGAAAGGGAGGGAGAAAGATAATAAACCAGTTGCCATGTAGTCAGAACGCATGTGTGTCCGAGTTGAACAGAGTCCCACAGGGTTCCCAATGGGTGATTTTTCTGTCCGTCACCAGGCCTTTCTTCTGAAAGGTTGGACTCTAAACTCCCACCTTGCAGTTAGCAACCAAGTGCATTCACCATTTGCACCACTCAGAGACTCCAAGGAAGATAACAGGACCTGATAATTAGCACCTACTTGATCTACCCAAGACCCTTCCCAGGATGGAGTGTAGAGCAAGGGAAGTGAACCCTGTTCCTTCTAGCCTGTCTCAGAGGGGGACGGTGCATGAGGCCTAGGTCCACTAGCTTAGAGAACTGTTCAGCCTACTAGGCAGCAATTCTACCCCTAACACTAGACTCTACAATACTGATGCCAGGGCCTTCATCCCAAACTCTCCAAACAGAGTGGAGATAGGACCACAAGGTCTCAGCTGCCTTGGAGCCTCTGCCCTCCCAGGAAGCAAAAGGGAAGTAATGAGGCAGAGAACATGATGGAGCAGGCTTGGGAGTGAGCAAGGGGGGATGTGGGGCAGACGCAACCTGGCCTCTAGACTCACAGGGGGTCCTAGGCACTGGGCAAACTGGCCCGAACCCTTCCCCCTTCCCTCAGCTTCCTCTCCCATGACCTTTGCCCCACCTTGTTTTCTATGAAGAGGGACAGGTAGAGCTGAACCTAAAGCAGCTCTACTCTAAGAACTACCTTCTGTTGGAAGCCTCTAGATGCCCCAAGACCTCAGTCTTCTATGAGCTCACATCTCTCAGGACGACATGGCATTTCAACTGACCATACTGATGCAGGGATATTGAATTTCCAGAATTTAAAAAATTATCAAGTGATGTTCAAAATAGACACTCTTCAGCCCCTCCCCACACTCTGCCCTGAGCTCCTCCTGACCCTAGCGCTCATCCCTTCTCAGAGATTGCAGGTGATCCCAGGATAGGTTCAGAGTCAGAGTCCACTGACCAAAGTACATGGTACTTAAAATAGATATTTATATTTTGACACATTAGGCAAAACAATGGTGACAAAATGACTGAGTCAAAATGCCCCCATTTGATGTCTTTGTGCTTCTCCTCACTGTGTTATTGTTTGCGGGTGCATGTGCATAGCTCCGGGGGTTACCAAATATCCAAATGCCTGCCTGTGTGTCCAAGTGATGCTGGGTGTCCATGAGATGCAGTGTGTCTGTATGAAGGCTTCTGTCAGTGTGTGCATCACAGTGTGACCACTTCCTGCTGGACACAAGGGGCCACTCCGTGCATGCTCAGGCCAGGAACCAACCATCAGTCCAGGTGTCACCTCCCTGCCACACTCTCCAAGGTAGGAGCTACCTGCTCAGCCTAACTGGGAAATGAATACCCTGTTTCTGGAAGTAATTTAATTATTGGCTCCTGCAGACTAGTGGGTAATTAAATTCTGTAGTTCCCAAAGTAATTAATTGCTATGCAAATAGTAATGCCCTCTGCTTTGAGAGGAGGATCCCGGCCTGGGTTTGCCCTGCAATTAGAAGCTAATAATTACCCTGTCAGATCTCAGCTTCTACCGGGTAATTACCTGCTGAAGCCCCACTGGTCACTGAGGGCTGTTCCCATCACCTGCTGCTGTGGTTCTGGGTCTGGTGGCTCCAACAGCCAGGTCAGGGGGTCCTGAGAGTTCTGGTTAATTTTGAAGTTCTCCTCATGCTGCACCATGCCTGAGGAGCCCCATAGAAACATCCTCACTTCTAATCAAGACTAAGAATCAAAACTAAGAATGGGACCTCCCTAGCCTCCCTTTGCTAAATGAAGAGGTGCTCCAGCTTCTCAGTGTGTAAAGTTCCATCCTTCACTGAGAGATTCCTATGGATCAGGAACTTCCCCAAAAAGTATCTAACAGTGAATCCTCATTGTATTTCCCCATGCAATGTTTTTTGTTGTTGTATCAACCAAATTAGGCTAAACTACAAGAATGGAAGGGACCCTCCATGACCCTGAGACTAGAAGAACTAGATGATATCTGGCTACCACTGCTGACTGCTCTGACAGGGATCACAATAGGAGGTCCTGGGTAGAGTGGGAGAAAAATGTGGACCAAAACTCAAATGATTGAAAAAAAAAAAAAAAAGAAGAAGAAAGAAAGAAAAAGGTTTATTCGTCTGATAGAGACTGGTGGAACCCCTGAGGCTGTGGCTCTTAGACACCCATCAGGCCTAGAACTAAATCCACCCCTGTAGCTCAACTTCCAGCCAAACATAGGCAGGCTTATAAAGTGAACAGTCACACCAGGGGGGTGTGCACTCCTTAGAACAATCAGCCATATGAGATCAGCATTTGCCCAGGAACACAGCTGAGAAGGCACGAAGGAATAGGAAGGAGGGAGGAATGGAAATGATAAACACAGGGAGGGAGGGAGAAGAGGGCTGTCACATTGTGAGGACTGCACTCAATGTCTCAAAACAAAATGTGTATGAACTGTTGAATGGAAAATCAATTTCCTCTGTAAACTTTCACTCAAATTACAATAAAAAATTGTTTTAAAAGAAAAAGGCAGAAGGGAGGACAACAGCCATTTTGTAACATACACACACTGTCTCCTACTTATCCATCAAGCACTCATCTAGGTCCTGCTGCAAAGGGATTTTGAAGATGTAATTGAAGTCCCTAATAAGGTGACTTAAAGCTAGGGAAATTAGCCTAAGTGGGCCTGTCCTAATCAAGCAAGCTTTTAGAGGGGCTTTGGCGCTTCCCAATGAAGGAAACTCCAAACAGCAGTCGCATCTACAATGACTCTCCCTTTGCTCGTATTCTTTTGTTTTTTTGTAGTAATATCAGTTCAGCTAAATAAGTTCTGCTTCTTACCTTCCCCTTCACCCAAGTTAATATGTGTCTCCCCCCTACTTAGTGGTTTACCCTCCCTTCCCCTCCAATCCTTGTAACCATAAAAGAATATTTCTTTTTGTATA